ATGTTACTTACTTGGTACTTACATACCAAGTATGGTACCCTGATACTATGAATATCTGTGTGACCCAGCTGTGACCTGTATACCTTGTCCCAGGACAAAGTCCTGGCACTGTGGACTTAACCAGGCCTTGTGCCCATTTCTTAACCAACCAATCACCCTGGCTGGTGGATTTGGTGATCTCATACCAGAGCAGGGCTACCAGTTCACCACTGGATTAAGGGTTGATGCCAAACTCATGAAAGCCAACTCCATGGTCCCCAAAGGAAACCTAACCTGAGGTGCTGGGGCAAGAAGAAGGGGTAGTGGATGCCAAAGAGGCAAAAACAGTAAACATTCCCTTGGGGGTGAGGGAAGTTACGGGCATGTCAGGGCTGGAGCTGCTGACACCTTCTTGACTTGGGATAGCGTGGGAGTTAATAATGTAAGCTGTGGTGTCAGCCTGCTGACAGAGTCTGTGCTCTGTTACTCATTAGCTCAGTGACTCTGAACAAGTTACCCTCATCTGAGAAGAAGGTAACCATAGTACCTATTTCACAGAGTTGATGTGAGGATTAATAAGACGGGGCCCATAAAGCCAGGGGTACAATGGAAGTGCTCCATAAATGAATGACACTTACTTTGTCACTGTCATCTCAACACAAATAGCCCCATGCCCCTCACTGTTGGAGACCTGGGTGAGTCCCATTCTATGAGAAGACCTTAGTGGAAGTCAGGTGGTGCCTGTATCCCATGAGTACTCACCTGCTGTCTGCTTTGAGTTCTCCTGCTGTCTCCTCTAGCTCTTTTTCAAATCGCGTTAAGCTCAAGAGGCGGTTAAAATGCCAAGAAGATTCTCTAATTTTTGAGCATTAGCAGATCAGGCTAGAAACGCTTACTCTCCCACAAGAAGACACATGCTCATGGGATTTCCCTGGCAATCCCATAAGAGCCCGAAGGACTGTCATCGGCAGCTGGATCAGGGTGGGGAAAGGGACTGCTTTCAAATTGTTAAATTTTAAAAAATGTGCACACTACGTATTTCCAGCCAACAAAACACGGCTGGGTCTTCTGCAAGGGCTACCTCCTTGTGATGTCCTCAAGGAGGATGGGATCAGCCAAAGATTGCAGCTGGAGTCCGTGGGGCTGTCCAGGGGTGTCTGCACAGAGCTCTAGAAATGGGGAATCTATTCACTCAAGATGAGTGAGCAAAGGGCTCCTAGGAGAAAAGAAAGTTTTTCATAAAAACACATCCTGCTGTTATTCCGGCCAAGGCAGAATGAAAGCCGAAGGTTTGAGGGAGACTGTGTTGCCAGAGCCCTTTCTGAATGGCTCGGCTGCCGAAGAGGCTAAAATGAGGCTGTTGATGTCGGTTGTGAAGAGGGAGGATGCTTAGGTGGGGAACGGAAGAAACAATTCAAAAACAGATGGAAAAACTTCCATGCCATCAAAAAAATGCTGACACAATTATGTAAAATCATGTGTGTATACCTATAAAGAAATTTTTAAAAATTAAGAGCATATGGACTCTAGAAGGAGACAGACCTAGGCTGAAAGTTGTGACACCACTCCCTGGCTTGTGCGAGCTCCCTCACCCTCAGTTTCCTCAACTATGAGATGGGGCTAATTATGGTACTTCAATCATAGATTTTGAGGATTCAGTGAGGTGATGCACGTATAAGAGTGTCTGGTACCTAATAAGACAATAACACGTTAGGTGATGCTGTCGGTCACTGGGAGAAAACAGAAGCTAAAGTGGGGTGGGGGGTGGGGGTGGAAAGTGAAGCCTAGTTTTCCATGCTCCAATCACATGGAACTCGCCTCTGGCTCTCTCTCCTTCTCCCTGCTTTGTGCCTTGGTCCTTGCTGTCCCTGAGCATGGGACACTTCTCCAATGGTCTAGAAGCCAAACTCCTCTCCACCTTTTGAGATCTTCTCCAATGTCACTTCTTCTGGGAAGCTTTCTCTGGCACCTCCCTCCCAAACAGAAAGGATCACTCTGCCTTGAGCCTGAGGCCACCACATGGCAAATGCAGCTTCTCATACACTTGCCTGTCACTGAGGCCAACTGTGAGCTCCCTGAGGACAGAGATCATGTCTTAAACATCTCAGCCTTAGTAGCTCCTGGTACCTAAGAGATGGCCAAGAAGTGTTTGCTGAATGCAAGCACAGAAATGGAGGGTGCCTTCTCTGAAAAAAGCAAGGCCAGTAGTTCTCCACTCTAAAGAAAAAGAGAAAGGAAGTGGACATAAGCGGCATCATGGGAAACTTGAGTTAGACACAGAGAATTCCCTTAGTGAGAGTGTTAGATGTCAGACCAAATTCCCATGGGACAGTGTGGAATTTCCTGGACATGTCATCTTCAAATAAGAATACTTTTGGAGGGGTAGGGGGTGATTCTGATGTGGCTTTGCCTGAAGGCAGGCCCTGAGCCTGGTATGAAGTTCCTAAAACCACCTATAAGCAAATCAGATGACAGCGCAGGGTCTTGGGTCTCGTTCAGTTGGTTACCCAGATGGCTTCTTATATCGAGCACGAGCGAACAGGCTGGGAAAGAATGTGGCTGTGTGTGCCTGAATGGAGGGTGGGAAGCCTTCCTCCACTGAGCCTAAATCCCAGGACGGGAGCAAACGGAGTAGCTTGCCAAAGGTCACCAAGTCATCTTGTATCCAAGTACCCAAGTCTAATGACACCCAACTTCTTTCTTTTAGTAAGAACTGTCAAGTCCAACAGGAAGGAGGAACTAGAGTGCAAAACAGTGCTTTTAGGCTTTCTGTCACTTGGTCACCCGCCCAGCTGCTACTGGACTCAGTTGGGCCCTGGGCTGGGTGCTGCGTGGACATGGGTGAGCAAGGCCTGGTCTCTGCCCTTACTGAGCTATTTATTAAGAGGAATATGACACCAAACATTGTATGATGAAAAATGAGTTGCTTATAGATAGAAATTACTATGAAGGGGCAAAATGGTGTAAGAGGAGAAAAGGCAGGAACAGACGGGCTACCCTTTACTGTCATGACTTCACTGCATCTAATACAGGCGAGGCAAGCTTCTTCACTGGGAAAGGTTTAGAATAGGCAGGAAAAGTTCATTTAAAAAACATCTTTCCAGTAATGTATGACAACAGTTCCAAAGAGGGGACAGAGCCACAGTGTCAGAAACATAAAGTTTTAGTTTTAGGGCAGGCACAAGACTTGGAAGGTAAAATATGATTTTGTATCTAAAGCCCCAAATGAATTCAAATCTCAACTAATTTGCCCATTGGCCTTGTGAAAGCTTATTAGCTCCCTGGGTTTTAGCAAACAGAGGCTGGGGCCGGCCTCATGGGGTCAATTACAGGAGATAGGATGCATAGTGTGACAGGCTTGCTAAGCGCTGTGGGATAGAGGGGGATGCAGTTTTGATCATTTCTAATGGAAGACTTCCTGCTCTGGTCCTCACTGCCTGCTGCTGGTTGGGAGTGCAGGGGGGAACTGTGAAGGATGTAGCCCCTCCCAAGGCAGGGGCCTCACCCATTTACTAAGCACTTACTCCACTGGTTAGAGGCTCCCTTGGCTATGCAGGTCTAACTCTGCCGATCTTACCTAACCCAGCATAATTAGTTGCAGCTTAGTTTGGTATTATTAAAAGCAAGGCAAGCCAACGACACTGACACATTTGGGTAGGAGAGAGATGTTGTATCTCAGCAAAGATTGAAAGAACTGAGAAAAGAAGGAATTGAAGCCCAGATTAGTTCCCAACAAAGCAAACATGTTTAGGGTCAAAGCAAATCTTTCATTTACCTCATTTTGAGTGACAGTCAAGCCCATCTGTGACCAAGGTGCTCTTATAACCAATCATGCAGCCAGAGCTAACAAGTGAGAAACACCAAACCAGCCACAAGGTGTGATGCAGTTTGTGCTCTGAGTGTCTACTAAAATCAAAATGAAAATAAACACCTCTTCTGTTAAACGGTGCTCCCCACAATGGCCATCAGACACATGTGTGCCACTCAGAAGGTCTCACCTGGGTGCCGTGTGACCTCACGCACGTAGGAGGCTTCAGATGCTGAGAGAATTTTCCAGGGCAGGCATAAGTTTGGAGATCGCACAGTGCTGCAAGTCTGGGCTGTTTCCAGGGGTAAGTCAGTGCATTCTTAAGTGACAAACTAGCACAGTGAAAGGCGGCTCATGTGTGACCCCCACATTCAACAGGGCACCCCCTCAAAACCAGGCACTGGGAGAGTCTCCACCCCAACCCTGTCCTTCTGAGCCCTCTGCTCTCTGCACAGAAGCTGGGAGCCAGTTGTAAATCTGGGCCCAGGCAGCAGCTCTGAATGTGTCTGGAAGGGACATGATGAATGAGAAGACTCAGTAATAGGAGCTGGCCTGGGACATGTCACAAGTTCTAAACAAATGATTTACAAGCCTGTGGGACACACCCAGCTGTGTGGTGGGGCAGTCTGCTCTGTGACTCTTTGATTAGCCCACGTTGTGTTAATGAAATTCCACCAAAGAGTTGATGAGAAAATCAAATCCATGAGGAATAAAAACAATGACGTCTTCCAGGAGGTAAAGTCAGAAAGTGGAGGGGTACCTGGGTGGAAGGGTACCTGAGTGGCTCAGTCGAGTAAGCGTCCGGCTCTTGGTTTCGGCTCAGGTTCATGAGTTCGAGCCCTGCATTGGGCTCCACACTGGCTGTGCAGAGCCTGCTTGGGATTCTCTTTCTCGTCCTCTCTCTGCCCCTCCCTTGCTTGTGTTCTCTCTCTCTCTCAAAATAAATAAAAATTTAAAAAACGTTAAGTGGAATATGACTTGTGGGGCTTAATTGTTTAACGTGCTTAATAGTTCCTCAAGTTTACTAGCATTAGACCTTTTCTAAAGGAAATCAAAGCTCCCAGAGCAGGTCAAAAATCAGCAGTGTAGTTATTACTAGGAAACCACAGGAGCCCAGACCTGGGATCTGTGAGCATGTCTTTACGTTCTTACTTGAAGAAACATGAAAATACTTATCATGCCAAAACTTTATCAGAAACTCAAGAAACAAACATGCCACCAAATGGAAAAGTCATTTAATTCAAAAATCATACTTCCGCTCGTTTCATAAGGATTGTCACATAAACCAAGCAAATGAAAGAAAGCCAAGTTTCAGAGGCCACTCGACAGAAACTGTATTGTCTTTAAAGATAGGCTTAGTGATGCAAAAGCACATTGTTCAAAAAGCCTCAACACGGCAAGACTATTATTACTAATGACAGGGAACAAGTTCTAGTCTAGTCACAAATTACTTTTTAATTACGGAATTGGATTTTATACACCAGTCAATATTCAATACTGAACTGAAGTTTAAAACAGTGCATTATTTATGGTTTTAAAAAAATTTAAAGTGCCATTTTTACGTACTTTATTGATATTATATCACACAGCACTTTGCAGTATACTCAAAGGTAGCCTAAATTAGGAGTTAAACATGCAAATAGTTTCTTCTCCAAAATATGGACAAAATGTCTTTTAGAGTGCTTGTGAGCGCTAGCCTAGTATTAGCTACTACAGGTTTAGGTGTCTGATCTGTTTTTCAACACGACTTTTAATACATGACTGAGGAATATAGCTGTCCATAGTAACCATTTGATAAATACAAAGTTTTAAAATGGCACTTAATTTACATCTTTTGTCCTTTTGATAGTCAATAGCCTGCCGTTTCTCTAATTCCCAACTTCTAACTCTTAAAGGCTGCAAAGGTTCAGCAAATGCCGGCTTGTGTGCATCTCCAGAGAAGAGTCTGTATCTTCGCCTTTGTAGATGTGTGCTTTATGTACACATACACAAACACGTACTGATACACAGATGCTTTAGAATCAACAGATGAACCTCATTTCACAGGCACAAGGTTGACCCTGGCAGCTGGATACCCAAGGCAGCTGCCCGTAGGTGTCTGTCGGGACAACTTTGTAGAAATGGATAGAGAACACCTTGACCTCTCCAGGACCTCTCTGGGTAAATGTGACATTTTGATTATCAGTACTCTGGTTCTGACTGGGCTCAAGAGAATTTTCATATAATACTAACTGCTCTTCTTCTAGGAGTCTGGGACCATGCCACGCTTTCACTCCCTACAGTATCCCACCTTGAAAGATGTTCCCATCTTGTAGTGTCCTGGAAAACTTTTGTAAAAATTAGTTGCGCACTTTCTCTGTGATGTGTTTTTCCCTATTACCAACTATATTTCTTTCTTGTAAAAATAATCCTAAGTTCTTCAATATGGTTCACCTTTCTCTTTCTCTCTGCTTCCGGCACTACTGCACATCCAATACCTTTGCCCCCCAAGAACACAAGGGCTTCCATGGGGAGACTACATTTTAGCAAGGACTGGCGGCTCTGAAGGACACCTGGATTCTCTACATGGTCTCTCCCTGTGCTTTGGGAAGTTCTTTAGCTAGACAAGTACTGTAGGCGGCGAAAGGAGAAAGGCTAATTATTACTTGTTGGAGTCTTGTCTCAGGCGTGCTGGAGGACAGCACAAGGTTCCTTGCTCTGCTGTTGTCATTCTGATGCTACAATTACAGAGAAGTGGTTCAGCACCCAGCAGATCAGCTTGGCTGCCAAATGCATTTGAACACAGGATACATTTTTTAAACACTAGTAAAGGGTGTGTGAGAGGACGACAGTTGACTTAAAAGACAACATGGGGCAGGGTTGTCTAGGTAACTGATGACTGTCAAGTTCGCCAGAAGAGGACAGATCACTCTGGAGACGGAATACCCAGGACATTCATTTTTAAGTCAGGTGGCTACTGGGTTTCGTCAATGGTGGTGACCTCCTTGGGTAATATGATTGCTCATGGGTAATATGATTGTTCATCAAACGTTTTGTACTAGAGCACATCGTGGGTACCATGGCGACCACCGCTATACCTGGGACTCCTGTGTTTATAAAACTACTGGTCCAGACTTGGTTTTGGCAACAGAAGCCAGAGAATGAAAGGTGCCAGCAAATAGTCATGAAGAGGGGATCAAATTACCTTGAGCCAATTACTTCTGTCTCCCTACCCTTCAACCATGGATGCTTTTGCAGTCTCTGTAGTCAAGACAGAACTTCTGGAGTGACTGGAGTTGCTGCTGTCAGGAGACACAGCTCATAGAAGGACGTTCCTCTGAGATATGGGAATGCACACACATCCCTAGAGTCCTGGAAGTGCCTGATATAATCTTGTTACTATCGTGGCTCTGTCCTGGTAATGCCAATCTACCAATACTTGATTGATTCTTTTCTTTCTCTGTGCCTCTCCATCCAAAAAAGCACTCAGCAAAAGGAGATGAACTAGAATTACACTGAAGGAGAGAGTTTGGTCTGGCAGAGGTAAACACATAATGGCTGTAGAAGTATTAAAACACTAAGCTAAAAACTGGTTCCAATTATAGGATACTAAAGAAGACTGTGCTATACAGGGTCCATCCCTATACAACGATTTTTAAAAAGAGAAGAGAGTATCATCAGTCTTGAGCAAGAATTTACTTGCTTAGGGGCAGGGATGTGAAACTAGTTCTTTCACAGCATGGCATTCTGGAGCTATGGAGTTTTTTGAGTGCCCAGAGGAGTGACAGACTGATCATAATGCCCAAGAAAAGATTCAGGCTCTGTATGCATGATCCCAGGGCCTTACAAAACAAACACAAGGCTCCTCAGAAAGCTCAGGGATCTTGATCCATAGTCCTCCATTCTGATATCTAGTTCACTTTTCTCATTCTGCCCTGAAGTTCCCTATTCAAGCAGAATGATGGGTGGGGGGCCTAGCGGGGAGAGAAGGTAAAATCTATTTTTGGTCTTCAAATTCCTTCCCTGTTTGTTGGCTCATATTCTGAAAAGGTCTGTCCAGTTCTGCAGCCAACGGGGAGGAGGCGAGCCTGGCTGGGGAAAGGATGCAGGGCAGCCATCTGTCACAGGCCCAGCATGGGCCCAGAAAAAGTAGGAAGGGGTCTACCTGAATGTGCAGGCTGACAGCAGCTCCATTCTCCTCTGGTTCAAATCAGGGCCAACTGAGGAGAGACGGACAAGCTTCTGGGCGGTCAAGCTGGGGCCAAGTGTCGACAGCTATGCCTTAGCAAGGAGCTCCCCAAATCAGGGCCTCGGCCTCTTGCTCCCCTGTAGTAGCTCTAGCTAAGGTTCCAGTGTGGCAGGTGACCACGTAAAATGTCCAATGTGTTAAACACAGTATGTTGAGCTCTTTCCATTTAGAGTGCACGGTGGTACAGATTAGGCTTGCTCCCTCAGGCCCAACTGAACAGGTCCCTGAGCTGTTCGAGGTCTGTGGGGAGTATGTGCAGCCACTGTGCGTGTTCTCTTTCTTCTCGGGTGTGTAGTGAGAGCTTTCCTGGGTCCTCTCTTGGTCTTATCCAGTCTCAGTGCCTATTCCCTAATTCAGGGGTCATGTCTCGCTCGTGGCGAGGTGAGGTTCTGTGCCACAGTGGTGTAAATCCTTGAGCTGATGAACTAAATCACCGTTTTAAATTGAAGCCCATCTCTACAGCTGTAATGGCACAACCCCTATCCCTCTGTGGAGTTTTCCTCTTGCTTGGGGGTTGCAGGAAACTTGAGATGAACAGGAAGGGAAGTATTTAGGGGAAGGGAAAGCAGCAGTGTACTGAGGACCCAAGATCCTAAGAAGCCAGTTTTTCCTAGGACTTAGACACACACACAACATTTACAAAATAGCTCAGCCTCATGTATACAGCCCTGGAAGATGTGTGGAGGAGTCAGATATAAGGAGCACACAACTATCTCATTACCATCTGTCCTGACATCTTGGAGTACCAAGAAATACACCTGAGAAGAAACACAGAAAAACAAAATCTAACTCGGAGCCCCACCTATGTGAATCCTGAGCTGCTTCTTACTACTGAGCAAGAGTTCTTTGAAACATTCATTGCCTGAAAATGCTCTTTCTTTCTCAAAATTCAAAGAAAAGCTCAAAAACACATCTGCATAAAGAAGACTAAATACCCACAGTACATCATGCCCACCAACCAGAGCCAGCAGAGAGCGTGCAGAAATGTTTTCTCCTTTCTCAAGGCCAGAGGGGGCGAGGACCTTGCCTCTTTTCAACCTCACCTCCTCTTTCTCCCTCATACACACACCTGTTCAATAATCAGAGCTTAAACGTGTGGAGTAACTAGCTTCAAGAATATCAAATATAAAACTTTGCCATATAATATTTCAAATCACTCTATTTACAAGTCTTTTTTTTTTTAAAGTAAAAGATACAGTAATTCAACACAATTCAAGTTTTTCTCTTCTTCTTTAACTTCTCTAAAGAGGAATTCCAGAAGTGGCAAACACTCTGGAGCAATGCTGCCATCCCGAGGGGCTCCTGGGGAGTGTGGTGGTCCATCAGTTTGGAGGTCGTGTGCCCAGAGTCACCTCTGCGAGGACATTCGAATGTGGAAGATACTGGGAACTCTGTTCTTTGAAGGTCAAGTGAATGTGACATGTCCAGGTCCAACTTTCTCTCCCCAGGTAGTCTTCCAGAAGAGCCAGCCCCTTCTGGACCAGGAAATTCTCTTTCTCAGAAGGTACCCAATCTGCCTTCCGTGCCTCAACTCTGTGGTGACCTCCTGAATTATGATGGCTTGCGCTATGAATCTTGTGCCTCTAAAGTCTGAGAAGCAATTCCCTTTTTCTGAGTGGCAGTGAACACGTATGTCCTTTAAACTCACAGGCCATAGAGTTAGCTCCAGAATCACCCCTGAAAGCCACCAGGGCACCAGGGCTCAGCAGCCCAGAGCACTGCCATGTCAACGAGGGGCTCCAGGCAGGCAAGGGCATGGGAAGGGCCATGGGACCAGGACACCATGGAAGGAATGAGTTAAAGGGAGGACGTTACCTATGGGGAAGCAGCACATTGCCCCCTGGAAAGCATGGAAGAACAGAAATATTAAGCCTTTATGTAATTTAATCTCAAGAGGTTACTAGAGTTTGCTCCAAATATATCCTGATGCTGCTGAAATTCATCAGAAAGGGAACAGTTTCCAGCTGCCATTCTGTCTGCCCCAAGCAGACCACTCATTCCTTGACCTTCTGCTTCAGGTTGTTGGAAAACCACTCAGACAATGACCAGAAAGCAGGGAGAAAAAAAAAACGTCATGCAAAAAGTGTTATTTTTTTTGGTTTGGTTTCAGAGTAGGTTGGGTTGCTGTGGTTACGAGGTGATGGCAGCCCTCGGTGGCAGCGAAGTTCCTAGCCTGGGAGGGGGAACGTGGGGTGTGTGTGTTCCCTTGCACGAGAGGACTGAGCTGCATTCTGCTGAGGCTTGGCTGAGGCTGCCTGGAGATGGTGAGAGATTGCATCTTGTGTAAACAGTGCCGTAACCCCTGTCCCTCGTGCATTCGCACAGACAGACCCAGCTGCCTGTAGCACTGTGGGTCTCAAGTATCTGGAGGTGGGGTAAGAGAGTGTCTACTGTAAACAGAAGCAACAAGTCTCAGAGCCAATGCCCAGGCCTGTCAGACTGAAGCTACACTGCATGCTCTTGAGGACAACTTACATCTTTCTTACTTCCTGTCTCCGAAGGTTGGGGGTTTGGATGACTGCTGAAACAAAATAAATGCTCCCTACGAAGGGCGCTAAAGGAAAGGAACGGTTTTGCCAGCCACTCTTGTGGTTATCAAAAGCAAATGGTCTCCACGGCTGATTGCCTTCTGTTCTTCGCAGTATCACCGCATGCCAGCGGCCATGGTCATGGGGATGGGTGACTCCAGAGTTCACAGAAACATTTGCGTTGACAGATAGTAACCGAGTCAGTCACCCTGCATTTCTCAGTGGCAAAGAGAAACGGCCTACAGCACTGGGATCAGCGGTTGTCATGGATACCATGGAAAGCTCAGCAGGTCTGCTGGGGCCCACGGTTAGAGGAACTCCACGTAGTTCTCAGGGATGAGGCCAGTCTTTCCGTTCAGAGTCCCTTCCAACCAGCCAGGCTCCTGAGACGGATGAACTGTACAGGAAGAGGGGAGAGAGCGCGAGAAGAAAAGACGTTATAGACAGGGGAGGCAGTGTGTGTGTGTGTGTGTGTGTGTGTGTGTGTGTGAGAGAGAGAGAGAGAGAGAGAGAGAGAGAATAAATGAGAGCATATGATGTTACATGTTTCTATGACTTGATTCGACTAGGGGTTCTTAACTCCTTGTGGGACATAAGCGGTCCAATAAAGGCTCAAAGTTCTTGTAACAAAAACGGGAAACAGACATGGACATTCAAAATTCTGCATATAAGTTTTGGGAGTTTCACAGACTTTCTGAAGTTGTTGGCTTAAACTATAAGGAGGTGATAGATTTTTACTTTTGAGGTTAGAAGTCAGTTACGGTGTTCCATCCATAAATTTATCCTTCGGTCCATCCATCCACATGCCCATCTACCTACCCAGTAATGCCTATATATACCGAGTGGAGTGTCCATGGAGGAATGCTAAGAAGTAGTTTTTCAAGTATGCATTTTACTAATATAATTATTCATTTTACTTTGCTTTGCTTTAAATCATTACCCTCTGCTTCTAACCTTCTTGCAAATCCCCCCACCTTTTTTTTTTTTTGGCAATCTATAGCTTTTGAATTTTTCTCCCTCCTACATACAAGACTCAAGGCTGTCTTCTTCCTCTTTCTCTTATGACTTTCAAAATTTCTTTGATTTTTCAATATCCAAAAAAATATACACCCATATCTGTGATATCACAATCCATCTTCACGGAGACTACTGTGAAGCTGGAAAGATTACATAAAATCCAAGTGAGCCTGCAAAGTTCAATAGCAGGAAGAAAGAGAGAAGGAACTATGGGACCTGGAGATGGTATGGGCACAGTGTTCAAGCTCGTGAACTGGCAATATATAAATCGCTCTTAACAGGAAAGGCAGTGCATTTGCTCTTAATGTATTAGGAAAACTCCAATTTTCTGAGATTGTTTGTAAAGAATGAATTTTCCCCTATTCCCTTCCCAGCTAATTAAGCTACTTCCTGCGCTTGTTTTAGAAAAGTATTTCTGCCCCCATTGCTACTACATAACTCTAGTTTCAGTTTGTAGGCAATGAAGCAAGAACAGAAACCAAAGGAAACAAGAGCGAGCAGCAAAAGGACACACATTGAGGCTTCAGGAAGGTCAATGTCAATGAAATCTTGAATGCTTCTTCAGGAAAAGATAAAGTCAAACATCTATTAGTTAGCCTCGAAAATGCTTGCATAATTTCCTATCAGTAGGCTTCAGGAATAAACCAAAAATAAGAACGGTACTTTGGATTCATGACATTCACACAAGGAGGAATCTGGAAGAGAAGAGCCATGAAAGAATACAACACAACTTAACAGCAACCTGGTCTTTCCAATGATGAAGCTCTCCCAGCCCATCCCTAAGATACTAGCATCCAAACGCCATTGCCTTCTGCCCATCCATCCAGCTGACAATGTTAAGATCACTTGAATTTTTGTACCTCTAAAGGGATTATAATAAAACTCTCTCTAGTGCCAGGAGCCAAAATGGAGAAAACATTCCACAAAGAGCCAGAATTTGTCAATAGCAGATCCTGTGTCATCTGACCAGTCATTTGGATGAGTCGACAAGGAAGGCTCTCCTCTGGTCACGCCTTGCTGAAGGCCTGATCTCAATACCCACTGAATCTTTGGAACACCTCAAATGTTCAGAACCAAAACAAGCAAACAACAAACAAACAAACAAACTCGCTCCCCAAAAGAAATGACCTAGAAAGAATAACTGAACAACCAACCAACCAACTAAAATAAAAACAAACAAAAAAAGACCCCTCCTACTTTATAGCAAAGCTCCTAGTTGAATTGTTACTCCAATGGATACAGCAAGTCCCTCTCTTTCAGACATTCTCCCTTCCTGGCCAGCTGTTCAAACACAGCTCAGGTGCTGAGGTGCTAACATCTACAAACATTAAAAATGGCACTTGCAGAGAAAGGGAAGAATGAGAGGAGACAAAGGAGGCCCCTCCAAATCCAAGAACAAGAGCTAGGACAGAGGACAAGGCAGCCTTCAGGTCAGAATGCTGACTCACCGGGGGCTTCAAGCTGGGTTTATTAAGGCCTGGGCCCACCACGTGCATCCGAATCACCTGCATGCTTATTAAAAATGGGCCGCGTGGCACATCAGTTAAAAGAGAATCTCTAGGAGTGAAGCCCAGGGATTTTTTTTTTTTTTTTTGATGTAGGCTTCATGCCCAGTGCAGGGCTCCAACTCATGACCCTGAGATCAAGACCTGAGATGAGATCAAAAGTTGGACACTTAACTGACTTAGGCACTCAGGTGCCCCCAGGGATCTACATGTTTAACATAATCACAGAAAGGTAAGGGTTATGACTTTTCTGTGCCAAAATGCCTCTGTAACGAGGGTGGTACTAAGAAAATGCAAATTCTCACTTACTGATGGAGGAGGGGAGGCAACATCAGATGCCCTTTCCCCTGCTGTTGTCTTCTGTTTCCTTTCCTTCCACTTCCCGACTCAGCTAAGTCCTACCTCCTTCATAAATCCCGGCAGAGAATGCAGTCTACCTGTTCCTTCTTTTCTCCTAACTCCTGGAATGCTCGTAGTACATTCCACACATTATTCATGGATCCTATTAATGCTGTTCATATGTTAAGTTAGGCTTTGCTTCTTTTACTAGTCTTTTAGGACATTTTGGTCTGTACTGTATTACTCAATATTCTTCAATGACTCCCCTCTGACCGGTCAATTAGGATAGCAGCTAACAACTAGAAATAATGACTGGGAAGCAGCCAGTGGCTCATAGGTTTAGATTTATATCAATGTTTTTGATCTTAAAGATCCTAGCTTGCGTCTTACCATCCATATTTTACAAACGAAAAAGTTAAGGCTCAGAAAGGCAAATTAATTTGTGCAAGATCACAATGGTGAAACAAGAATTTGGACGCAGTTTATTTGACTCTAGGGACCAAGCCCATTATGCTTCTATTCAACCAGAGAATGTGATATTCGAGGATAACAATGGTACATACACACATAACACATACATATGTATGTACGTGGCAAGTGGTGGGCCTTTTGCTAAGTGCTTTGCCTGCGTCTTCTACTTGCAACTTTTGAATGACTATGGACTTAGTTCTGCTATTATCCTCATTTTATTGATAAGAAACTGAGGCTTGGAGAGGTTAAGCATCGTGCCCCCAAAATGCGCAGCTGGCAGATGATGGAGCTGGATGTGAACCTGGGATCTCTGAGCCCCGAGTCTGTGGTCTAACCACCACCCCTCTGGGCGAGCTCAACGTTTAGGACATCAACACTGTTCAGATGCACACGTGGAGCTGACCTGAGCCAACAACCAACCCTCTGAAATGCACCCGTGTCCAACATGCTCTATAAACACACGAAGTGTTGCAGCGAGCCAGCCCGGCAGCTCTCCAGCCTGGCAAGCACATGATATAAGCTGCTGCTGGTACGGATATGCTTCCTGCCAGCCACTCTCAGCTTCGTCCGTCTATGCTCCGTACACCCCTGTAAACATAACTCATGCTCTCTCCTTTCCTTGCCTCACTGTGGAAAAGGAACAAGCATGTGACCAAACATGTGACCAAGATCTCTAATGGCTGGCTGTCCTGAAGGGAACAAGCACTGGCTGAAAGAGGCATAGACCCCTGTGTAGGTGAATGTATTTACTCATGTTAACAAGTGTTTATTAAGCACCTACCCCAAGCACCTGCTCTCAGATAGGGGCAATGGATCAATAAATAAGCACATCATTTTACGCAGTGATAAAGGAGGAGAAAGAGACTGGAAGGAGCTCAAAAAGCTAAGACCCAAATGATCTAAAGGAGCTGGCCAGGCAGGGGCAATGCAGGTGCAAATGCCCTAAGGAGGGGGAAAGCCTGCTATCATTTCAGAATGGTGGTCTGTGTATTTTTCTCAAAGAGCCAGATTATAAATGTGTGTCTCTACTCAATTCTGCAGTTGTAGCACCATGGATAACATGTAGACAAAAAGACATGGGGTAGCTGCGTTCCAACAAAACCGTATTTACAAAAATAGCCAGTGGGCTAGATTTGAGTAGTGGATCATAGTTTGCTGACCCTAGTTGAGAACACAGGGAAGGCATGCGAGGCTACGGCGTATGGAGTGAGGAAGGGAAGGTCTGGGGTTGGGGGGTGGCAGGAACAAAAAGGGGGAAGAGTGGACAAGAGAAGATTATGCAGGTGGCTGGTGTAAGCACCTGGGTGTCAGGTGGAGGCAGCTTGGGACTGTGTTTGGATCTGTCAGTAAAGATGGCAGGGGAGTCCAAAAGATTCCCCTGAGGACCTTCCCCTGTGACCCCACTGGTAGAGCGGCTCACGACCCCCTGGGAGGATGTTCTCTATCTCGGAAGGAAACCCAGGGCAACCCAGAATGGGCTTTGCACTCAGGCTGGGCCCTGCATCTCCGAAATAAATGGATCCAGCCCATTTCAAATCTTGGTCCAAGTATCCCAGGAACCCAATTTTAGTGAATGGCATGTGAATTTTCCAGGTATCACTAATCACGTTGCACAAAATGACTAATGTTCCTGGGAACACGAGTTATTTCTCTTTCCAGTTACTATCTGAGGTGCTCTTGGTGAAAGGGGCTATTTCCCAGTAGGCTGGCAATGGCTGACAGTGGAGCTCTTTCCAAGTATCGCACATCCATTCCCCACTGCACAAAGTCCAAGAGCTGACCGAACAGCCACCTCACATTCGCAGCACAGGCCCCAGGGATCCAAAGGCCTAGAGATTAATTATTATGAAACAATAGACTTTCCCCTCAGGGTGCCCCTCCTACTTCCCCCTCCTCATTCCTTCTTCTTGACACTGAAAAAGATGACACACACAGAAGTTCCCTACACCTGTCATTAGGAAACTTCCCTCCGATTGGTCTGATGATTTAATCTGACAGCTACAGAGCATCCAACTTAAACAGCTCTTACCTGAAGTCTCCAGCAAGAAATTACCAAGAGATAAACCAAGAGAAGTGGTCCCTGCCGAACATGCTAACCGTTTTTTCTTCCCTTATGCCCAATTTTTCCTATGGGGGTGAAGGAAGGGGGATGATGAGGTATATGCAGCAGTTTCTAAAAATCAGACATAATAAATATTACCAGCCAGATCACTTTTAAAAGTCAGTTCACACTTTGTCAGATCCTTGTTTGACTGCAGCTCAATCAACAATGAGAGGGTTTTCTCTGAGGTTTAATTTTGCCTTTTGCTTTTCAGGGAATTTAAAAGGGCCTTGCTGTTTAAAAACGAACCAATGTCAGTGACTTCTGTTATGACTCCCAGAGACCACAGAAAGGCTTGGTTGAGGCCTCTGACTCATTAAACCAACCTTCTTTCCTGTCCTCCTTTATCATCATAAGATTTATGATGATGACCAAGTTGTGTGTTGTGAGCATTCCTAGCACCTACTAGACAGAGCACCTTGCAGGGAAGGAGAGGATTTGGCAGTTAAAAATCACCTGGGTTCCTTCTCCTTTCTTTTTGGATAGCTGCTGAAGCTCTAAAAAGAGACTTGAAAATGGAGGCAGGTGGAAAGGTGACATGGTGCAACACATTTGTAAAAACACTCCGGCAGCTCCTTAAGCTATTTAACTAAGTTACTGTGTGACCCAGCCGGTCCCTCCCCCACCAAGGTCTGTCAACCAGAGGATAGCCAACACAGGTCTTCACAAAGATCTGTACACAAATGTTTACAGCTGCACTACTCCCAACAGCCGAAGAGTAGAAATAATCGAAATGCTATCAACTGACAAATGGATAAATAAAATGTGTTCTATCCACACAAGAGAAGATTACTCAGCAGTAAAGTGGGAGGAAATCCTGATGCATCCTACAACAGGGATGAGCCTTGAAAATACTATGCTGGGTGAAAGCAGCCAGTGACAAAGACCACATTCTGTATAATTCCATTTACGTGAAATATACAGAGCAGGCAAATTGATAATGACAGCAAGCAGCTGAGTGGTTCCATGGGCTAAACGGGCAGCACTGGGGGTGTGCGGAGCATGACTGCAAAAGGCACAGGGATTCTTTTGGGGGTGATGAAGATACTCTGGAATTAGTCGTAATGGCTGCACGACTCCGAATATACTAAAAAACCATGGAATTGCACATTTTAAATGGGTAAATTATATGGTATGTGGATACCTCAATAAAGTTGTTTGAAAAGAAATGCAAGGAGGCTGTAGTCAAGAAAAGGAGTCACAAACAAGATGCACACGCATACACATGCCTTTTGAGAGTTTAAGCCAATTCTGCTCCTGAGATCAGATAGGAACAGGGCAGTCCCTTTCCCACAGGGGCAGTGAACTGGGGTTTAGAGGACAGACTTTAAATTCTGATTCACCTGGAAACATGGCTATCTCTCAAATCCTACTCCTCCACAGGTAGAGCCCCTCCCCTGCTAACAGAGGAGGACACAGGAGCCCTTGCACACAGTCTGCTCTGGTTTGTCTGCCTTGAAAGCTGTGTCATGTGATGCCTGGGCTGTGACTCCACCACAGGGGCCTATGCGGGCTGGGCACACACGTCAATGACGTGGCTTTGGACAGCCTTCAGGGGACCTGCTTCATCTCAGGTTGGCCACAGCCGGCCTGATCACTCCGGGTGCCGACAGGAGAGGCAGCTGGGCAGGCTGTTGGCGTGCTTTGCTATGTAAGGCCCCTAATGAAAGTTAAAGGAGCAAAGGTTTAATTAAGGACAGTGCTTTTGCGGCTTGGAGAACCATAAAGGAGGACGTGGGCCCAGCAGGCCACATACAGTTAAGAGCTTGCCCTGTCCCTGCTGGCTCAGAAGGTCCAGGTGTGACCTGGTGCTCTGTGGCCTAATTCCCACTCGGTGTCCCCATGCCTAATTACTACCTGTGCCACGGTGAGTGCAGGGGCTAGGCACATAGAGGGGCAGTCCCTTCGCATGTGAATGCAGTCAAGGTGTCATACCTACTGCCCCACCAAGAGCCAGGCCTGGGTCACGTCGGGGAGAAAGGTACAAGTGTCACTGTGAACTATCAGAACATCAGGCTCTTTACCTAAAATGGGCGTAATGGTGACCTTCATCATGATAGTAATAGCAGTGAATGCTCAATGTGTGTTGAGTACTAAATACATAATGTGCACCATAGCACTTTTCCCTCCCAGCCCTCTGTTACCCTGGTACGACAGAGGACAGAACTGAGGCACAGAGAAGCTGTCACCACTTGAGGTCACACACGAACAAGCCAGGACTTGCGCTCTGATGGCCTGAATCTAGAGCTTAGGCTCTCTAGCGCTACATGGGGGCCTTGGCTGCCCTGTATTTCTAGGTCTCAGGCAGGTGGCAGGAGATGTGATCTAGGCCAATGCAGGGCACTCAGCCCTGAGGAGAGTGCTTGGGCAACCTGCACTCAGCCTTGCTCAGGAAATTTGCCACCACCCCACCTGAGGTCAAGAAGACATGTTTGTTCACTTCCTGAAATCAGGCAGCTGCTTTGGGTTCCTCCTTTGGGCAAAACAAACAAATTCTTTCACCCAAGGATCCAGAAAGATGAACCCCAAAGGAGAGGTTCATCTGGCAAGACTCTCAACCATAACAGAGACTCAGGCTTTTCCCCAGAATCATGATTTTTCTCTTAGGTAAATGGTTATGACAAGTTACAACATCAATACTCATTTTAAAAAAATACTGCCTTTTTCTTTCTTTCTTTCTTTTCTTATTTTTTTTTTCAGGGTAAAGCTCAAACACAGTCCCCCACTACCACAAATTATGCAGTTGAGTTTCCCATATGTGGGGAAATCACAGGGATCAGCACATCCGGAGTGCAACGGATAAGCCTCGCCCTGGGAAAATTACCTTCATGATCATGGTATCTCCCCTGCTAGGTAAGTATTGCCTTTTTCCTTTTTTAGGGAGGAAAACAAACAAAAAGAAGAAGGAAAAGGTACATCAAGTACATACTAGTTCCCAGTTCTACGGTGCAAGGGCCACGCATTCAGTTTCACACCAGGGCACCTGAGCAGGACAGCTGGCAGTGTGCAAGGAGATGTGACTACGGAGTCTACTCTACACTTCCGGACAGGTCAGGGGAGGGGAGGCAGGCCTGCAGTGGGGCTCAGTGACACGGAGCTTGCCCATGTTATCTCGGAGATGAGCCTCACCTCCTGTGGAGGGTGAATGCCACTGAGCCCAACAGGAAATTCTGCACCGCAGTCTCCGCCCTGAGCTGACCACTTGTAAGATCCCTGTTCTCAGCTCTGTTACCTCCTACCCTCTGTCCAGACCCCAGACTCTCAAAGTCACTGCCAAGTTGCTGGGCTGAGTCCTGTGCAGGTACAATCCACTTTTAATGTCCGAAACACTTCCGTGAGGATGCCTCTGTCAAAGTGAAGGCTTCGGTATGCTGTCCTCTCTGGACAATGCCCCCGGAAGTCATGCTGCTTCTCGCTCATTTTGGGAAGAGACCCCAGCATGTGCACACGGACACACACGGACACACACAGAAACACACACACACACACACACACACACACACACACACACACACCCTTCTTTTCAGTTTCATCCATTCAAGTGAGGCTGTCCTTTTTTTTATTTTTTTAGGTAGGAATTCTGAAAAATGCAGTTATTTATTTGCTTCTCACACCCCCACCCCGCCCATATCTGTGCAAGGGGATGAGAAACTCACCATTGTCAAAGACGGTGCCTGCTGTGAACGAGAGTTCTGAGTCATGTTCAGCTTTGCAGGCATATAAGGCTTTTGCCTTCCGGAACGGTGTGCTGTGTGAAAACAGGAGTTTATTTAGCAGTATTTTTAAACCTTCTGAAAGCCCCAGATATTTAATCTCTCTTCTTCCCCTTCCCTGCAAGCCACCTAGTTGTCTCTTGCGGCAATAGCCCGACAAGGCAGCCAGATGGCAAAACATGAGGTGGCAGAGTTGCAAAGGTCACCAGAGAAAAGAGAATTATTCAGAGAAAAGCCATATGTCCTGAGAAACCACACGCCTTGTGAGGTCACTTCTGAGCCACATTAAAACTCTGCCTAAGTTGTCAGGACACCTGGATGGTGCGAATGCAGGTTGGGACCCGTGTTTGGAGCAGGAGGAGTTTGGGAAGAGGGTGGTGGGGAGAGGGCTTCCTCGTGGCTCCGGAGAACACTCCCAAAAGGCCTTGGTGAAAATGGGCAATGCTCCGTGAGTCAAAAAGGAGAGATTCTAACAAAGCCACATTTTGGCTCTAGGCCATGGGCTGACATTGGCTCTCCCAGATGTTACTTCTTTCTCTCCTTGGGCTGGTGGAGCAGGATTCCAGAGGAGGAACTCCCCGACCCCCGGGGTAGGGCAGAGAACAGACAAGGTGTGTGTGTGTGAGCAGTTACGTGAACGTGTGTGAGGAGTGTGAGGAGGAAGACAGGGGAGGGAACATGACATATATATGTGCATCCAAGTCACTGGGAAGCTTTTCACAAATGCAGATTATCCGGCTTCTATCCCAACCTGCAGATATAAATACAGGCAACGTTATTTTTGAAAAGCTCTCCAAGTGACTCAAGTGTGCGACCCAGGCTGAGAACCACGGTCCCAGAACAGGGTTTGGCAAACTCATGCTGGAAATGACCTAGCGGTCAATATTCCCGTCTCTGTGGGCTATATGGTCTCTGCTGCAATTACTCAGCTTTGCCTTGTGTTATAAAAGCAGCCAGAGACAACATGTAAATGAATTCATAGGGCTGTGTTCCATCAAAACTTTACTTAGAAAAAAACAGGTGGTATGCCGGATTGGAATGAAGGGCCACAGATTTCTAATATGCATTCTGAAGAGTAAATATTAAGAACTGGTAAATCCTATTACCACCTATCAATTTTTGCTTTGATGTCCAATAGTGCCAAATGATCAATGGCCCTTTCAAGGGTACTAAGACAAATGACACTTAACAGTCAAAAGCTGGCTCTTTATTTGCCACAAGTAATCTCTTCTACCTCTAAGACCTCAGAGGAACCACATTTAGGGGCCCCAGGGCAGAATAACAAAAGAACAAGAAGGTCCTCTGGGTTCAACAACTCTTCCAGGGATATGCTATTTACTTTAGCTACATTTGACTGACAGAAAACCTCCAGGAGTCAGTGGAACTAAACACCCTGGGGCATACTGATTTATAGTGGCCAAATGAGATTTAGGTAAGAAAGGGCTGGTCTCAGGCAAGCCCAGACACAATCCAATGGGTCTTGGGTCATTATGGAATTATTATTTCTGAGTCACCAAATCCATCTTCCCTTTGGAAAAGAGAAGCCATGGATGAATGGACACCTAGAGTAGGGCCAGGCATCTAGAACTTCTAGTCTTGGCTCTGTGAAAATGGAAGGAGATAGCTTAAAATTAAGGTCTATTGTGCCCGAGGATCAGAATAAATGAGTATCCAGAATTTGTTGCTAGGCACCATTGACCGTTCTTCTCGCTGGCCTTCAAGTGGCCAAGAGATGATGTCCAGGTGGGAGAAAATTGGGAAACTGGGATTAAAGGGAGTGGATCTGAAGGAAGAGCCATGGTAATTCTTTAGTTTCAACCAGAAAACAGCTCTTCTGGGATAATTGTCGTTAAAGTCAGAACAGAGTTTGGACAAGGGACATATTCTGTGACCTAACTGAACCAGGTATGCCTATTGCCAGCAAGGGCCAAACATCCATTGTGCAACTTTCCATGGAGAAGAAAAATGTTTGTTTTTTGTTTTTGAGGGAGTGGGAACTGAGACGAGGAGTTGGCTGGTTATAAAAAGTGATAAAACAGCCCAAACCCCATACTGCCAGGGAAGGAGAGCCCGTGAAGTGGAAGGAAAATCCAGCCGACATTAGCCAGGGTCACTGTCCCTTAAGGACAGGGCCACAGCAGGTGGGTGAAGAATAGAGACTGGGGGCAAGAAAATCAAAGGTGAGGGAAAGATCATGTGAGGCAAGGCTCCTTCAGCTGGATTTTCATAGAGGTTACTCATTAACTTCATTAAATAAAGGGAATGGGACGAAATGGGCAAGCCAGGGAAGCCAAGTGGGGTAATCTGGCAGGAAGAGAGCCAAAGGAATGGTCTCAGGTGCTGAAGAGTATCATTCAAAAGGAGTAAATTTTCCACTAATGTTAGGCTTTGGGAATTGAGTAAAGTGACAATAAAATAACCCATTAAAAATAAAAACAAAGATCAGGAAAAGGCCTTGCTTTTTTCTGAGATTGACAGGTGACTGACCATTTAGGAGAGGGTCTTTTCCCCTGAGACCTCCTCCCACTGCTGTTCCCCGGGACGAGGGCCACCAAATAAAGTTTAAGACACCTAGTTAAAGAAGAATTTCAAATCAGTGAGAAATGCTCTTTTTAGTGTAAGTATATCTCAAAAAGTACACGGGGCATACTTCTGGTAAGAAAGAGCATTTGCTGTTTATCTACAATTCAAATGTAACCGGAGAGTATGTGCTTTCATTTTCTTTGCAAAACATGTGCTAAATTTGGCATCTCTACTGGGGGGAACTTATCTTTTTAAAAGTTGGTCAGCCCAACTCGTCTAGTGTTCTATGCCGTATTTGCTCTCAAAAGCAGTTTGCTTTAGGTAGAGTTCCTACCAAAACAGATCCAGTTGGCAGGAGGCTGTGTTTGTAGGCTTTGGCTCTGACTAAAAAAATAGAAAAATGCCCACCAAGCACCTTTGGCTCTCTAGCTCCCCGTTCCCTGCGGGGCGTCTCAACACTGGACACAGAGAGCCCAGGGTGCCTTCAGCTGCTCCTGCAACAGTGCCCTTCAGACCTCAGCTGGCCTTCAAGGGCATGAACAAGTCTGGAACCTTCTGCTAGTTCATTTTTAATTTTCGCCTCTGAGCATGGCACAAGGCCAGGAAAGCACTCAGAGGAGCTTCCCTCAAATGCCCTTGCAAACCTTGTAAAATGACAACCCACTCTCCATCAGGTGACACTACAGGGAGGTGGGACCAGCCAGACTAGCAGGAAGCAGTAGCTTGATCATTTAGGCACAACTGCCAGAGGCTACTGTGTAAGTGGAAGTTACGGTTTAGGTACGGGGAGATTCTCTATGGGTGACAGGAAAGGGAAGGGTGAAGGGAACAGGCTGCCAGTACCCTTCCTCGGCTGTGCTGTCAAAGGCCTCTTCCTTCCTGAGCTTGAATTTATAGGCACAACAAATGCTTGGGAGCGGGGAAAGGGAGCCACTTCCAGAGGAGACATTAAGTAGAAGTTCATGGGACCATTTATTAAGTCTAATTAAGCAGTTATTTTCCAGGGGAAGGAAATCTGAAGCTTCACACTATGGAAGTGGAGGTAGGCAAAAGGCCCCAATGGACCGGAACAATAGGTGTATGCCCCCATCTCTTGGCATACATATATGGTGATGGTAACTAGGGGATTTTAGCTCCGTTGGCTAGTTCTGATGGTTTAGTGCCTACGAGGGTCTCTATCTGTGTTCCCCTAGGCACACACACTTAGCTTGGTGCCAGTCGGTTCCAAGCCCTCGTCAGCCTCTCCTCTTTCAAAATGGAAGCTTCCTCAAGTGTTGTGGAATAGGACTGTCCAGACAGTGCTACTTCAGTGATGGCCAGGGTGGGCAGGGCTGAATAACCATGACCCCAAACACATCATGGTAACAGAACCTATGGCCACTGTACTCTGCCAATCTTGAAACACTTTGGGAGATGGAGAGTGGTAACTAAAGAAATCTTCCTGAAAATATGTTGGGTGATGGAAGGGAGTACAGAGGGAGAGATACTCGCTGTTCCCTAAAACTCAGAGACACAAAAAGTGAACAGTCTCAAAGCACAGAATTTGTTCACTTTTTTAGCTGAATGAGTCTACCATCCTGAGTCCCCCAGCCCATTCTGTTTAAGGGACCAATGTTTTGAAGATTTTACTCCCCTTTGATCAAAACGAAGGAAGCACATTCTCCTAGTGACCAGGCCTCTCTTATGAGTGGGGAGGCATATAGGAAGGTGACTGCCTCACGTCTCTGTAGTTTGCTCTGGTTCAGGTCTTCAAGGAGCAATCAGCCATCCAACCAGAAAGGTTAGATCCGTGCCATATCTCGTGTCCTAGAAAGTTAACGTCTCCCCAAGCGCCCAGAATATGTCTAAGAAATAATGAGGAAATAACTTGAGTGTCAGGAAAATATGATCTGAATTTTAACCTTATTCCCAGGGTGAGGATCAAAGAGTTTATGGAAAAGCTATCCTTCCCAACTGCCAGTGCAAAGCTAGAGAGAAAACCAAACAGAGCAGGCCAGGCTCCGGGGCTGGGAGTTGCATGAAACCTTAGGTTTGGGGGAACCCTTACGTTTGGAGGAAAGAGTGCTGGGCTGAGGACAAGAAGTCCTGAATTCTGCATGGGCACTCATCCAGTCATGTGACTATGTAGTCACCTCTCTGTGCCTCAGTTTTCTTTCTCTGTGAGAGGGTTCAGGCCATTTCTCCTCACGTTCTCACATGGGGATAGCATGAAGTAATAGACTGGAAAGCACGTGGCAGAAAATCAAGTAATATATACATCTGTATATATAAACAGCATGGGTTTCCTTTTTTTTTTTTTTAAGTGAGACTAAGTGTTGTAAATTATTGAAGCCCTCTCTGCTGGGCCCACCCCTCCAGGACAAAAACAGCCATGAGAAAAAGATAAATGAGAAAATACTCCCAAGGTTCCAAATGCTTATGATGTTCTGTAAGTGGGCTCTACGTTTTGGTTGTCTGAGACCAGAGCCTGATTTTGAGAGAGATAGAGGTGTAGATCTACCTGTCCGAGAGATTCTCCAGGATGTTTATTCATTAATTCTGTCTGTGGATTTAAATAGCTTCTTTTCTCTAAAGAAATAAGTGTGGGCATTCTCAAACCAGGAGAAAGGAACTAGATCAATTGTGAGAAAGAGGTGCTGCCTCTTCCCATGAGCACTAAGGGTCCAGGAGGCATGGAGAGCCAAGCAGGTTGGGAGCACACAGAGGGCAAGGAGGCAGCCATAATGATTTAAAGAGAAATCGCTTCCCATCTCCATCTTTTACTGTGTGTTACATTTGTCTCTCCCACTTCTCTGGTCTCAGCAGCTAGGTGTCGCTGGTTATGGCCAATGGTCCAACCCCACAAATAAAAGCTGCCTGATGCTACCCAATAAAAATAAGGGAAGAAAAGGCCAGGACGTGCATCAACACTGTTCCCTCTGATATTATCTTGTACCAAAGCACAGAGAGCCCATGATTCTGAGAACAATCCAAACAGGAGCCCATTCAGGAGGCACTCTTTCCCCAAACTCCAGGCATCACGGATTAATTCAGAAACTGGAGGAAGGGTTCAGAAAGGCGTGGAAAATGCCATGCTGGTTCATGCACATGGTCCCTCCCAGCTTCAGTCTCTCAGGCTGGAATCACAGGAGGGCAGAGGCTAGCCCCCACCCATTGTCCCTGACCGGCTTTGGATAAACAGGAATGAACTGGTCATCATCCGTGATTTTACCTGGAGTCTTCGCAAACCGCTTCTTCTGGCCTGTCAAAAAGCAAGTGCAGGTTTGGATGGCGGGGAACAAAGTTGACGAGGAGGCTGAACACTGCATGAAGAGAGGACCAAGCCAATGAGAGAACAACGGCAGCAACAGAAAACCAAACAAACCCTGCAACAGACCTGATGGGGGATGAGTCGCTGGACGTGGATGAGGTGGGCATAGGGCTGGATGGCGCCGAGAACATGGGCCAAGATGGCGAGAGGGGTGAAGTTGGGCTTGGATTCGGGGGGCTGCAAGACAGAACAACCAGAAAACTCGTCAGCACACAGGGAAACCACAATGGGAGCACGAGGTTCATGGGAGGCCAAATGATGGGGAGCTGGAGCAGACGAGGGGCACTGAAGGCCAGGCTAGGTCATCAGCACCAAGTCACATTTTTCCAGACCAGACGTTGGCGTCTCCCAAGCAGTGGCTGTTCTGCCATTCCTTGGAGCATTAACGTGTCTCTTTGCCCTGCATAACTGCTTTCTAGGTCACAGAAGCTTCTTTAGTGGTGTCTACTGTGTCCTTGCCCCCTGGTGGAAGGTGCCCTGGGCCCACGTATGTGAGCTCCCACTCAGACTCTAGCACCAGCCTGTCTGGGGAAGGGTGAGCTTCTCAGAGGCCTTCAGGCCCCACTGCTGTGGGAGTGGTTTTAAAGTTGCATCTCAGCAAAAATGACCATTTTTCTGGGCCACACGGGCCATTTGGCCAGGAAACAATTTCCTGTTTACATTTTTAACTAAATGGCCTATGTGCCACTGGAGACCCAAGAAGCACCGCAGCAGAAAAATGATAGCAGATGGAAGACAGGTCTGGGCGCACACCTCTCAGGAGACGACATGCAATTTGGGGAGGCTCTGCAGTCTCTCTGAGGTTTGCTTTCCAGGCGTGCTCTCTCTCTTCATGGATTTTGGGCATTTTGATGCTCTAAGAAAAAGCCCCAGAGGGAAGGCAATGAAAACCTAAGGAAGTGAAACCTTCCATCTGTCATTTTGTTCTCTGATGGGCAGCTGATCAAAAGCTTGGAGAGGAAATGGCAAAATTACTCACTAAAATACGGCTTGTGCATTTTAACTGGTCACGCTAGCTAGCCCTTTGACTTACTGCCACAAATTACACACACACACACACACACACACACACACACACACACACAGTGCGTTAGCAACTCGGTCAAGTCACATTAAGTTCCTGAGCGTGCAAAGATCAATGACTGAGAAACCAAGGTGGAGATCACCCAGCCACGCCCCCACCCGCACCCCTGAGCCTCAGCCAAGGGCTTGGTCCACACACTTCAGAGAAGTGAAAATGACAGCAATCCAATTCCAGGGGAACAGACTTTCTAAACATACTGGGATGTGGCAAGAATGCATCGATGTCCTACTTAATGGGCCATTCTCAATTTAGACATGAGGCCGATAATGGTCTTAACTGCCCGTGGTTGCAACATACATTCTCATGGAAATACACAGTAGATATCCATCACATTAGTTCACCAGAAATCCACAGGATCCTTGAACGAAACATTGATTTAATGCCATTATATGCATTGTATTTCTAGAATATAAATTCCACAAGGGCAGGAATTTTTGTCCATTTTATTTACTGCTCTGCCTCCAATGCCTAAAATAGTGCCTGTAACTATTCAAGGAATAATTACAAAGTGAGTACATTAATAAATCTCATTTAACTTATTCAACAAGCCAAGAGGCACAATACAATTCCTATTTCACAAATGTGGAAACTTGGGCCAATTTGAGGCTTGCCTGTAAGTGACAGGGCTGAGGTTCAGACCCCAATCCCCTGGCTCCAAGCCCTGGGGTCTGGCCATCACAGTGTATTGCCTCTGGGGTAGTAGGACTTACTATGTTCCTTTATGCTATGCCAAGCTTCTTTACAGACCCAGCCATAGCACTAGAAGCCTTCTTAACCACTGATTTATGAGTTTCCTTTAGATGCCTACCACATTTGCAAAGGAAAATGGGAATAGAGCAACAGACAGATTCAATAAGACTCAACACATTGTAAATTCCCCAATTCTGCCTCCAGTCTCTCTGGTAGATTCACATAGCAGATGGGATTCATATAATATAAGAGATTAAATTCGAAGAGTATGGCTTCATTCTCTTTCTCTCAATTAATCCAGTGAAGACAAGTTACTGAGCACACAGCATGATCAAACAACAAATGCAATACAATTTAGCATTTGCCAAGGTCCCTAACTTTAAGAGTTTACAGGGTATTTGGCAAGATGGGATAGACTTAAAAACAACTCTAATATAAAACCTGTCAGGTGTGTCAGCTCAGAGGTGAGTTACTATTGTGTGAGTTTCATACCTGCTCCCACCTGACCTTGTCTTGAGTCCTGGGAAAAAGCATGGCCTCAGTTTGACTGTCCAGCCTTCACTTTCTTCTGTAGTTACAGCTGGTAAGCAAGGCCTTGCCTTCTCAGGCCTCTCCCCACAATCCTCCTCCCTCGATAATGACCTAGTAGGCAAGGCCTGGCCGTGACTTCTAAACTGCAACCCAACCCAGGAACCTGAGCTCTGACCAGGGACAATTTGCAGGTTGAAGAGAGCAAGCCGCCCAGGCCAAGAGCACTGAACTCACCACTCACCTGTTCTCTGGTCAGCAATCAGCACAGGACAATTAAAAAGTTCTTAAGACTTTTTTTGTTTTTGTTTTCTTTTTTCTTTTTAGTGGCTATCATAAGGAGGAGACACCTCCTCCAGCTTTCTTTCTCATTTGTACAAGAATTATGCCTTTGGCTAAAGGCATTGTTGGGGACATACTCTGAACACAATGTGGGTTCTGAATGTTTTTTTCACATCCTTGTGTATCTAAGTCGTTCTAGGCCAGTACTACGTGGCTGAAATTATCTAGGGATGTGGGTCAAATGCAGGGTGTTTGAAACCATTATGAGAACTTAATCTTTAATCCCCTTGTCAATTACTATAGAATAGACTATCATTTTTAACAGCTAACAGAATTCCATTTGTTTGCTTCTGTTTTACTCACAGCAACATTTATTTGCTATAAAATGACAACAATTTAAAATTTATGACTACTATATTTTAGTGTAACAATAAAATGCACGCTCCTAGTACTTTGATTTTTTTAAACTATTGATGGAATTATGCTTTTTGCTTATTTGTGCTTCAGGATCATGTCAATAAAGCTCATGGTCAACAATACTATAGAACATTTATATATATACATATAATGATGAATGCCTGTAGCAAAAGAATAACAATATATAAATATTCCTCCAGGAAGCAGAGAGTACATTATATTTTAGATATGAGACAACTTAGATATTATAGGTGGGAATTAAGATGCCCAGGGATGATGATAATGGCCAGGAATTTCTGTATAATCTTACCTTCCCCTATCAGTGCACAAGGGTCTGGCTATAGTTTACTGAAAAGTGGTAATAGCAGACAAGTCTCATGCCTAAAAAACCTCAACAAAACACATAAACAACAAATGGTCAGTTTTGTTATTGGCTCTGAAGCTTCTATCAAATTCTCACTTTTCCCACTGAGGCCAAAGGTAACAAATTACTGACATTCAGATAGGAGAAAATAATTTAAAACTACAGTCTTAGCAGATGAGCCCCTAAGTCCTCTCGGTCATCCTCAGAGTCAAGCTGGGAGTATCTGCACATTTTTCGCTCCTGGGGCTCTACCAGGTTCCCGACACCACTGCCCAACCGTAGCTATGACATAGAGCTTAAACTTTAGCATGGAAGGAACATGTGCTGGTCTAGTTTGGATTCAACTGAAAGGCTCACATCAGCTTTAGTTTGCTAGTTCACAGTGTCCTCAAAAGGAGTCATACAGTCCCAGTAAGTCCTGTTGACATTCACTGGACAGTGAAGAAAGAATGGTTTAGGAAGATAAGGCTCAACAGCCTGGCAGCATGTTGGCTTGTGGCAGACAGTTCAAGTCCACTGTGTGGCATTATCATCAGCTTGACACCCTTCTGTGGTGACTCACTTGAATGATGGAACGTCTGGTGTCCCAGCCAGGGCATGCCTGCCTAGTTACCAAGGCTGCCCCAGCAGGCTCCCAATGTCATGGTGGGTGTGGCAGACCCAATCAGGTCTCTACTTTATGACTATTACAACCTGAGCCAGGACAAGAAGACCAGGAAGCTGACCATTCAGAAGAAATGAATCTTTTTAAATTCTGATGCTCAAAAATACAGATGGTCTTATAGAAAGTTGGCAAATGCCAAAAATCAAGAAAAAGCAATAAAGTCTTAATTTGTACCACTGATAATCACTGTCACTATCTTGGCATATCTCCTCATATTTTTTGGTGGGGGGAATACTCCTACACACATAGTAGCCTTTTTTTTTCACTTAATAAAGCATTTTCAGATGTCATTAAATAGCCTTTGCTATCATATTCTTAAAATGGCTACACAGTATTCTATGGTATGGTATACTCTGACTTACGCAACTTTTCTCTTACTGTGTATATTCAGATTATTATCCCCACAGTAGCTATTATAAATAGTAGAGCAGCTCACTTCCTAGTTGAGGATCATTGACTATATTTGTTTCCTTAGCATAAATTTCTGGAAGTTAAATTAGTGGGTCAAAGGCCAGAAGTCTTTTTTAAGCATCTTGATACAACCTAGCAAATAGTTTTGCAGAAGGGATCTCCTGAACTGCATTCCCACTAACAGTGCATCGTAGGGGATGCACCTTCCCTCTCACCATCGCTCTACCAGCATGGAGGAGCATCATTAAAACAAGTTAGATAGGCTTTTTTTTTTCTAGTTGAAAAAGGTTACCTTCTATTCTTTCCTAGCAATTCCAGGGACGTAAAAATGAATACTATTCCCTCCTTTTGTTCTGTTTCCGTCTGGAAGCAATGGTTAACTTTCCAAAGGGCATTCTGCCAAGAAGGCAGTGTAGGGAAGGACACAGGCAGATAGACAGACAGACAACTGCAGCCCAAGGAGAAACCCGGGAGCAGTGGATGGTCAGCCTGTGCAGGAACTCTCAGAGACAGGACTAGATAAGAGGGATGACGTACACGGGAGTATCCAGACAGTCTTATGCCAGGTGTGGATTATGGAGACGTCACAACAATGGAATTTGCTCCTCCCTGCCAGGCACTGGATTGTCATCTACAGCCCTGATTCCCAGTCAAGGATTGTGGGGCTGGGTAAGGCCCGTGAGATCACTGGCCCAGGGCTTTCATACGTCATCAGTCCTCCCTTCTCAGTTAGATCC